ATGGGCATAATAGTGGAACCTAGCTCATAGGTCTTCCCACATTGTATTGTCATAACTAAGTGAGGTAATACATGAACTCACCTAGAACAGGATCTGGCAAATAGTAAACATTTAATAAGCAGAACAAGTTATAGCTGTTACTGTTGTTTTTGGTGCTACACCTGTCTACTTGGCTAAATTATAAACTCCATAAGGGCCTAGGGACTTTGATTACCTTGCTCACAACTGTCACCTTCAGAACACACACAGTAACTCAGCACATAAGTGAATATCTGCTAAATGAACAACCAAATGAGGAGAAAGGAGAGAATGATTCAGCACGAGAGAAACCATCTTCAGGAAGTACATACTGCATCTATAAATAGAAACGAAAGCTATTTTCTCAGAGATTTTAAGCCGAAATTTATAAGCTGCAATTTAATTGATTCAACACACAGCCAAAAAGATGAGGAAAGAACAGTATAATATTCTTGCACATAATAAAATATCCACCACAGAATGGCTGGGAGTGCACTCCCTCCTGAAGCCCATTAAAGCTGTCTGAACAACCACTGTGCAGGTTTTGGTTTTTCATTTAATTTTAATAAAATATTTTACTGGAGGAAGTTTGGGGTGTAATAGCAATGAAGTGTGTCTACTGCTTTAGGTGACCTTTCATTTCATTTCTGGACACCTGTGGAGATGAATATACTAATCTTAATGCCTGGGAGTTGAGGTTGCTAGTTACCCAAAAGTGAAATGTCACGTACAAAAACTTATTTTTTATTGTTTAATATCCAACTGTCTGGCCAGCAAATCACAATGACAAAAACAATAGCTATTTCAGGACAGGGCGCCACATGCATTATAGAAAATGCATCTCATTTGGAACTTTATTCCTATTCTTGATGAAAGATCAATGAAAATGTGAACTTTAAAATATTCCTCAGTGCTTCCTGAACAAGGGTGATTACGAGCCTTTAATTTTGTTTTGACTGAAATCGTAAAGCAAAGGCATAGATATATTGCACAGCGGTAACCACACCATCTGCATAAACCATCCATATCTCTAGGCAAACCTTTTATAGCCTAAATAAGTCCAGAAGACAATGAGAGCAGTAAGTAACTTAGATTTAAAAGCGAGACGGTGATCTGTAGCTCAAGGAAGTCGGAACAGACAGAGAGACTGTTCATTCTATTACCAGAACTATGGCTGACAATTCTTCAACCTTATCACACATCTCAAAACATCAGAGCATTATTCCCACCTTGGACCAAATTGTCTGAAGGAATTCAGCAATATCGTCCTGTTCCTCTAAAGTACAAATGAGTTGCTCAAATGTGTAACTTAGTCTCCCCAAAATGAGGGAAGAAAATGCTCTTCTGGTCCATTCTCAGTAGCCTTTGGGGAAACTGCGAAGATGAAGCTGTCCAGAGATTTCTAACACAACTTTGTTTTGGACAATATCCACGTGTCATCTCTGTCAGACTCCCCCCCCACCCCGCCGCCCCGACACTAATCCTTATGAAAAAGGGTAAAAGAACATATTCATGAAATCCTTATGCACATTTGTTTGAGGAGGTTAAGTTACATTGGACGGGGACTCCATGAAGTTTATTTCTCCTCCTCTGAAAATCTATAGTGGCCATCATTGGTGGTTCCATGCATCAAACTTCTGAGTTAAGCTAATTAGACAAAGTTTTGACCATGCTGTTTACTTTCTTTATCAAGAGACCCTCCCTCGTTTGCATTTATTGGTTCAATGGTATAACCTTGAAGCTTTGACCGGACCACCTTCTCTTTTCTGAGGACACTTCACTCTTACCCTGGGTACTACCATTTAGCCATATGGCTTTAAATATTATCTATATCCTGATGATGCCCAAATGCTTATCTTCATCTCTGACTTCTGCTTGAGTTCCAGACTTTTATATCTAACTTCCCACATGATTTATCCATTAGGGATGAAGACAAGGAATCACAAATATAAGGAATCACAAACATGAAAAGAGAACTCTTGATTTCCATTTCACACTAGTTCTCTTACAGAAGTCTGCTCACTTGCTCAAGCCCCAGATCCAGGATTCATCCTCGATTATTTCTTTCCTCCTCCATCAGCAATCCCTGACAGCCGGCCTCCAAAATAAGCAGTAACTAAGCAAAAAACATAAACTGATACGGATTAACAAAGTGATAAGTGTCATTAAGACTATGAAGTAAGTGGACATGAGAGGAGGGAGTGAGAGCCTACTTTTGACAGGCAACAAGGAAAACCTTCTTAGGAAGGTGGCAATTCTTCCATCTGGATGTCGAGATGGAGATGTCCATGCAAAGTCCTAGGGACCAGCCATTCCAGGTAGAAGGAACAATGACACTAAGGCAAGAAGGAAGGCTGCTTTGACTAAGGGGAGTCGGGGTTTGGGGGTGGGGGCAGGAATGTACCATGAGCTCTGGTTGCAAAGAAAAATAGGAATCGACTCCTATGGGATATTTTCAGCCAAAATCAGGAGTTTGGAGTTTATTTATATAAATGCAATAGCAAGTCATCAGCAGACTTTAATCTGGAGAGAGACAAGATTTATTTCATTCTCAAAACATCACCCAAGATCCTTGGGCAACATAAACTGAAGTCATTTGCATCCTTCCATCGCCATTACCACCACAAACAGATACTACTGATCCTGTTGAAAACACAGCAATGCTACGTAAAAGCACTGAGCAAGGGGCGCCTGGGTGGCTCAGTCGGTTGGGCGGCCGACTTCGGCTCAGGTCATGATCTCGCAGTCCGTGAGTTCAAGCCCCGCGTCGGGCTCTGTGCTGACAGCTCAGAGCCTGGAGCCTGCTTCCGATTCTGTGTCTCCCTCTCTCTCTGACCCTCCCCCGTTCATGCTCGGTCTCAAAAATAAATAAATGTTAAAAAAAAAAAAAGAAAGCATTGAGCAATTGTATAGAATACATTATCAACTCAGATGAAGAAGGGAAGTGGGGAGAACAGGAAAGGAGAGAGCAAGGAGGAGAGGGAAACCCAGGAAAAAGAACCCGAAACCAGACTGGTAATTCTGACAACTGATGAAAGAAGAGCCCACAGGAGCACAGGTCTGCACAGTCCACCAGGAAGCTAAAGGCAGAGGCTTTACCTTGCACTGAGAAAAGGAGATAATGCCCCGGGGGCGGTGTGAGGCAGGAAGCTAAAAAAATAAGAATCCTGCACAGAGTAAAGTTCTGGAAAGGACTTCCTTCTCTTCAGAAAGAGGCTTAGAAAAACCCTACCCATCAGCTCAGGAAAGGGAAAGAAAAAACCTTACAAATTGCTGAGAATCTAAGTAGAAAACAAATAAAATCTTCCATGAAATTAAAACCCCACACCAGATATGGTATCAGAAATTACAATGCCCAAAGAATATAATAAATGCAAACCAAGAGAATGTTACAAAACCTACTCTAGTACAAGGGACCCCCTGAAGTCCAAGAAAAGTAAATGCAAAATTGAGCCACAAGGGAGTATGTCCCTTACATGGGAAAAACAACCCCAGTTTAAAAGGAATTTGCAATAAAAAATTACAAAACACACAAGAAATGAAATTACTGGAAAGAGAATAGCAGACACGACCATTGGATTTAACACCACATGTTCTAGGGTAGTTGACAAGACAATGTGAAAAAGATTATACAATAAGAACTAAAACTAAAACGGAAGAGCCAAGAACTAGGAAAAAAGGAGACAAGTTAAAGACAAAAACACATATTATCTTTAAACCTTAAAAAAAAATAGTTATTCCAGAACAATCTACAAAACAGAGCTAGAGGCCTCATACTTCCTGACTTCAAAACATATTACAAAGCTATGGAAATCGAAACAGAGTGGTACTGGCATCCAGACAGACATAGAGACCAAGGGGGCAGAAGAGCCCAGAAATAAACCCACACATATATGGCCAAATGATCTTTGACAGGGTGTCACTACTATATGATGGGGAAGGAGAGTCTCTTCAACAAATGGTGCTGGGAAAACTGGATATCCATATACAAAAGAGCAAAGTTGGATTCTTACCCCACACCATACACAAAAATCAACTCAAAATGGATTAGACTTACCTGTAAGACCTGAAACTATAAAACTCCTGGGTGAAAACATAGAGGAAAGCTTTGTAACATGGGATCCGCAATGATTTCTTAGATAAGGCAACAAAGGGAAAAACAGACAAGTGAAACTACACAAACAAGCAAAGGAAACCGCCAACAGAGTAAAAAGGCAACCCATGGAATGGAAGAAAATATTTACAAACCATATATACGATAAGGGGTTAACATCCAAAATACATAAGGAACTCCTACAACTCTAGCAAAAAAGACAATAACCCAATTATAAAAATGGGCAAAGTATCTGAATAGGCTTTTTTCTACAAAAGACATACAGAGGGTCAACATATATATGAAAAGATTCTCAACATCACGCTTCATCAGGGAAGCACAAGCCAAAACCACAATGAGAGAGCACCTCACGCCTATTAAGATGGCGATTCTCAAAAAACAAAACAACAAAAAATAACAAGCACTGGTGAGGATGTGGAGAAACTGGAACCCCTACGTGCTGTTAGAGGGAATATAAAATAGTGCAGCTGCTACAGAAAACAGTATGGAGGGTCCGCAAAATATTAAAAATAGAACTACTGTATGACCCAGCAATCCTAGTTCAGGATATTTATCCAAAAGAATTGAAGTCAGGATCTCAAAGAGATACACGCACTTCCATGTTCATAAAGCATTACTCACCAGAAATGGAAACAACCTTGGTGTCCATAAACAGATGAATGGATAAAGAAAATGTGGTATATACAAACAATGGAGTATTATTCATCTTTTAAAAAGAAAGAAATCCTGGGGCACCTGGGTGGCTCGGTTGGTTAAGCATCCGACTTCGGCTCAGGTCATGATCTCACGGTCCGTGAGTTCGAGCCCCGCGTCGGGATCTGTGCTGACAGCTCAGAGCCTGGAGCCTGTTTCAGATTCTGTGTCTCCCTCTCTCTCTGCCCCTCCCCTGTTCATGCTCTGTCTCTCTCTGTCTCAAAAATAAATAAACGTTAAAAAAAAAATTAAAAAAAAAAAAAAAGAAAGAAATCCTGTCGTATGCTACAGCATGGATCAACTTTGAGGACATAATTATCTCAAAATGTGAGATATCAATGAATAGGTTTTAGTAGATGAGAACCAGCTCGAGAGAAAATTAGTAAACTCCAAATATATTTGAAGAAATTACACAAAATGCAGCACAAATACATGTAGAACAGAAAGAAAGGCTGGGCATGTATCTAGTAGGCATGTATCTAGTAGGATAACAAGAAGAGAGAACGGTGAAGAAGCAGTATTTCGGTCTGAATAATCACAGAACTCTATTCTCCCGGACATAAAGTGTGCTCTGAGGGGGAACACATGTGTGTCCAGCAATTCCAAATAAGCATTTCCCTCGGGCAGATGTATGAGGTTGGGAGACATCTTTTCAGCGGGCTGCAAGATGCAATGTCAAGGGAAGGTATTGTGCTTTGGGTGGGGGTAGAGAATGTGCATCATGAATGGAAATCCAGAACTCCTTAGCTTTTTGTCCCGCACCTACTCTTTCTTTACACAAGCTGTGTCGGGGGTGGAAAACCCTGAAAACAAAGGCACACGCTTAAGAGCGCCCACCGTGAACCTAACACTTTCCTAGGCAACGCGTGTAGGGTGAATAAGACCTTATCCGTCCAGGGAGAACCAGAATATCAGGGGCTGAGAGGGGCTGGGACCCACGCCTGCTGACATCTGAGTCCCAAACTCCTTCTGCTCTGTCCTCCTCCCTCATGATTCCACAACACTGTGTGGCAGCCATGACAATGACTGAGAGCTAACAAAAGGTATTTTAACCCCCTCTCGACCCTGCTTTGAGCTCATCACGAAAGGAAATGCTCCAGCCTCCCTCTGGTAGCCAGAGCCACTCTCCCTGCGATCTTTTGGCAGAAGCATCTCACTTGGAGCGGCCTGGGGTCCCTGGGCTCTTTGAAAGGATCGGTGGGGATGAGTGTCTACATCTTATGGCAGCTGTGAAAAAATGCTCTGCTCACAGCCTAAGGGAGAGCAAGGCCACGGGCAGAGCGGGGGCCAACAGTGCAGGCACTGGGCATGCTGGAACCTGCAGCCATGCAGCCCTGGCCAGTGGTGGGTTCTACTGAGTGATCAGGACAGGGCAGTAGACACGAGGATCAGAAAGGGGGCTGCTGAAAATGGAAGCAAATACTGCAAAATAAAGAAAGCACCGTCACGCTCTAGACAAACATGAAATAATCGACTTAAATCCTTTTGCATTTAAGTGAAACACAAGTGCAAATTCAAGATTTCTGAACCGGCACCTTACCTTTCAAGGCTGGTAAACGTTAAGTCGTCCTTTCTCCTGGAAATCATGCCTTGAACTCTGCTACAGACAGGGTGGCTGCCTCCTGATTTGCTCAGCAACAGCCGCGTGTATAGCTGCTGTCTCAGGCGTGACCTCTTTTCAGCATTTGTTCAGGATTCTTTAAGTAACAGCAGGGGTGGCAGCAGCAGCGGCAACAGTAGCAGTGGCCTAAGTTAGCCGGGACAGGCTCAGTCCGCTTCCAGTGGGGATGCTGTGAGGTACCCCTCAGAGACCCATCAGGATTATTCCTGAAGCTTCCAGGAGGGCTTCCGGAGAAAGCCCCAGCCATCAGCCCTCCTCAGACTTGCTTCAGATGAAAAGTGGCATCTCAACATGGCCACGTCCTCTTCCCAGGGTGCCCAGGTTCAATGACTTGTTTACGGACAGGTAGAAAGGCCTGGCCCGGCTTCGAGGCTCCCCACGGGAGCTTGGGTTGGCTTGTGTTGAGGCCCCCCTCACAGGCCAGCTTCTCCTCCTGCCCAGGCCACCTCCCTCGCTCCCCTCCCAGAGTGGGTGGTCCCAAGAACACTTGCCAACAAACTCCTGGATGCTCATCTCCATCTCAGAGTTGACTTTCCAAGCAGCTCACGGCAATGACCGGTGTCATTTGGTGCTTTCGGCTTTCTACACGTCTGGTAGCACACGAGACACTTATGTAGTGAACAGAGTTCTTACTCTGGTTAGATCAGAGGATGCCTGGAGGTAATCGATCTCATTTTTTCCCATCTTGTCTAGACACGACATATGGCAGACTATCTGATGTCGAGGTGCTTCTTCAAGGTGGAACTTGCTGACCAGGTGTGGGCAGCACAGTGAACAGACGGCCTCTCTCAGACTCTTCAGGGTCAGCCTCAGCTTCAGAGAGTGGCCCCATCGAAGTTCACACACCTTCCAGGACAGCCCACAGCTGGTGACCGAGTAAGAAGCGGGTGTGTGTAAGTCCAGCTCTTTGGCCGAACGCAAACACCTCCGAGGGGTTACCCTTACTCCCGAGTTCCCAGCTAGTTTAGCCTAGGCTTTGTCAAGCCCGTATGACATCTGGGCATCTTCCTCTACCCAATCCTGCTCTTCCCCTTTCCTCTTGATCCCCAAAATAGACCCCAAACTTCCTCTCGGCATCTTCTGAATAATTCAACCCGCAACCCAATGTGACACCTACCCTTCCAGGACGGCTTGTGGGGTGCTCACTTACCAAAGAAAGTGACAGAATACCAGCAGCTGGGAAGAGCTGTCATCCATCTCGGATAATGATGAGAGGAGATTTGGTGCAGCTGCCTCTGCCTTCTTAACGTGAGAGCTACCCGAAGTCAGCAGGTCACCATTGGGTGCAGTGGAAAACCAGGGAAATCTCAGTCTAGATGTATATGAAACATGGGTAATGGGCACTGAGCAGTCCCATCACATAGCATATGGAAACAAATCCAAATACTCTTCCTACAGTGGTTTTAACATTAACGGCATGCAGGATGAATCTACATCTATTAAATTGTGTGGTTACGCGGTGGCACTTTAAAAATTGGCAACGAATGTTTGGGCATTAATGGGTTAAAAAGAGGACAAGGACTGTTTGATGGAAGACCAAATACTCTATTCATGAGAAAGTCCGTGACAAACCTATAAATTCCAAAAGGTTGATCGACACTTACCCTCTACTAGAGGAGTCACATGCTATCGCTGATCCCACAAAAACCAGAAGACGCACATCTGCTCAAGTGTCGGTGTCAGCTCCCAAAGACTGTGCCGGAACACAATGACCTGACACGCGCAGCTGTGGAAAATATGCAGGAAAGCAAGACTTTCATCTAGACCAATTAAACATTGCTCTACAGTTTTATTCTAGTAATTACTTATTAATTATTAATTTATTAATGTCTCTGTATTCTATTTATTAATCAACTTACTGTATCACTTTCATTCTATTGTTGTTGGGCACATAGAAAAAGTGAAGACAGCTGTTCATGTGCTGGCTCCCCTGGCAGAAGAGCGTTTCAAGTTAATTAAATGACGTCACTTTTACAGAAATGTAATCAGAAGCTACAAACTGGAAAACAGTCATTTTCAATAATGATTCCTTTTTTTTTTAAAGTAGAGACAGACAGAGCATGAGTGGGGGAGGGGCAGAGAGAGGGAGACACAGAATCCGAAGCAGGCTCCAGGCCCTGAGCTGTCAGCACAGAGCCCAACGCGGGGCTCGAACTCACAAACCATGAGATCATGACCTGAGCCAAAGTCACTTGCTCAACCAACCCAGGCACCCCAATTCTTTTTTTTTTTTTTAATTCATGGTACCAGTAAAACATTTGGGATTTCATTCTGTTGAAGGTAAACACCTGACATTACCAGGGTGCGATGCGATGATAAACTCTGTTAAATGAGTCACTGCTGCCGTAAATTCAGTTCCTAGAGAGTTCAAACAACAGATAAAAGTTATCCTTGGGGCGCCTGGGTGGCTCAGTCGGTTGAGCATCCGACTTCGGCTCAGGTCATGATCTTGCGGTTTGTGAGTTCAAGCCCCGCGTCGGGCTCTGTGCTGACAGCTCAGAGCCTGGAGCCTGTTTCGGATTCTGTGTCTCCCTCTCTCTCTCCTACCCTCCCCCATTCATGCTCGGTCTCTCTGTCTCAAAAATAAACAAACATTTAAAAAAAAAAAAGTTATCCTTGCATACTGATATAAGTCCAAATTTTGATGGAGCACAGTACCATGGTAAAACCCCATTTTTGCGAAAAACACTGATGGAGTAGAAATGTGCTTGGAATTAAGTGTGGTGCAACACGGTACTCAAGTTGTCAAAATAAGCAATGGCTGAGGAGTTTATAAATAGCATAACGTATATAGTACTTGGAATAACTGAACCACACACTTTTTGTGAAAAGTCTGATTTTGAATACCAAGCAATGCGTGGTTTCTCTTTTTGCTGGCTGCCATAGTAGGATTTTAGAAAAAGAGCCTGTGAGAAAATAATTTGTAATTCAATCTAAGTGTCCTATGATGGGGTTGAACTCTTTATAAATAAGCCTTCTAGATTTGGGCCATATCCTTCTAAATCCGTTTTGGAGAAGTTGTTATCAACATTTTCAGTGACCAGATGATCAAACTTCAGTTTTCTAGAATTTCAGCAAATTGGGATTATTGGTAAGGAGGTTTAAAAACAGCAAGACGCTAAAATTTGTACCCACAAGGGCAAGGGAAGAACTGAACAAATTAAGTAATGGCAGCTCAAATGATGTGTAAGATTTAAATATGCAGTTCTAGAACTACATTTTGGAATATCTCCGTTTGTAGAGAGAATTTTTTATAGAGTTCCTTCCTATCTTCCGTTGTACCAGACTAGGGTAAAGCTGAGAAATAAGTTTTTGCAAAATATAAACATGGCACAATAGAGAACTAATTTGACAAGCTTTGCCTTGTAAAAATACTTTTTGAGGAAAGGAATGGAAGCAAGAATACCCTTGAAACTGCATTAGAATTGAGAATATCATCCACTTAGAATGTGTTCCGATCCTATTAGTATGCTAGAGAAAGTACAGTCTCCAACACAATATGGTCTACAGAAAGGTTAATTGAAGGTTCATCTCAAATTTGTTAGCCATAAAATGTAATTTTGAAGAAAAATTCAGGTAACTTTTGGTTCAACATAACAAGATCATAAAAGAAAAAAAATCCCACTTGCTTCAGAACAAATACAGTACCGTGGTATGCGAGATATATGTGTTTTAAGGAACTGATTAAAGAGGTGAATAAGGATTCTGATATTTTTTAATGTTTACTTTTCAATATAAAGTCGTATTAAAGTTTACTGTATGCAGTTATGTTATTACACGTTTTGGGAAAAACTATTTTTAAACAATTCTTGAATATAACTTTTATGGGTTCATCAACATAATGAAACTATCAGTCATTAAATAAATATTTCAAAAAACACATGGTTACTTTCAGCACTTTCTTCCTTCTCAAAAGTGTTCTGGTTTGAGTGGTAAATACTATGATCACCCTATGACGACACCCACAGTCATCAGGTTCCTCACACTTTAAAGAAAATGAATGTTCTCTGACTCCCCCTTCTAGGGACAAAGGCTCCCAAGATGCAAAGGACTCTCAAAGAAGAGATGATTAACTCTTTTCCCTAAAATTCTCAGTATGCATAGGATTTCTTTGGGAGCCTATTATAATACAGATGCCTGCCCCTACTCACAAAGTCCATGATGGGGCCCTGGAGTCTGTATTTTGCCCAAGACTTCCCCATCTCTCCAACAGATTCCTGGAGATCCAAATGCAGCTTTGAAAAATGCAGCTGGCCTTTTCTCAAATGAACTTCCAGAGGCTCTTCTTGGCATGGAGTTGAACTCTACATCCCTGACGTCCCACCCACTAGTAAGATCAGCCACAAAAAGAGAAAACCAAGCTCTCTTCCCCATGATGGATCTTCAACTGTGAGGAGACGACTTTTATCCGTTTCTGGAGTTTTCTCTTCTCTGGTCTAATTACTTCAGTTACTTCAACTCTTTTCCAAAACGTAAAATACACACAACATGAACTCATAAAAGATTATTGAGAATACAAAGTATTCCCACACAGAAAGACTAGGGTGATATGGCTCAGGCATAATGTGAGTGGAAACATTCAGGATTTTAGCTGATGGTAAACTCCAAAGGAGTCAACAGTATTAATCATTACAAGAAGAAGAAGAGAGAGCAGGAGGATGAAAGAGGGAGGAGAAAGAGGAAAAGGAGAAAAAAACATCTCTACCTCTATTTGTCGATATCAAATGAAATGATGCTGATTACTCAGACGTCTTCTAACACATTCTACTGTTTCCATTCACACTTCTTTGATCAAGTATCTCCTACTTCCTGGAATGCCAGCTCCACTCCTCCCCTAAAGCAACCAGCTATTTTCAAAACTATTCATCTTTCAAGATTCAGTTCACTGATCAGGTCCTCAAGCACCTCAGAAGAATTTACTCCTCTTTCCTCTGTGCACCCACTGTCCCCAAAGAGCTGTCACCAGACTCATCTGTTGACATGTCTCTTATGGCATATACACCTCCAAGTAGACTATAGAATTTAGATATTATGTTGATTGCTAGTCCTCTATCTGTCCTCTAATATAAGCTTCATGAGGGCAGGGCTGTGGTTTTATTTAAAATCCTATTTCCAGTACCTGGAAGAGTGCCCAGCACACATTGGGGCAGTCAATCTTTGTTGGATAAACAAATAAGTAAATTCATATATTTTTAAAGAACTATAGGGCAAGAACTATGTATTTATCTTCCTAGACAATACAACATAATGTACAGTCGACAAACGTTTATGGAAAGAGAACGTAAAGAAAGGGAGAAAGGAATGGATTATTTGACAACTGGGAAACAATGTCCACATTAAGGGCTTTTTGTGCTGCTAAGGAAAGGGATCAAATACTAGACAGATAAGCTGGGCCTATCAAATGCGCCCTTGAATATCCATAGAACACCTACTCGTACGTGTAATAATGTATCAGATAAGGAATGAACTGGGTATCTAAGGTCCTTTCCAAGTGTGGATTCCACAGTTCCCAGGTGGTGGAATTTACCTGTCTTCAGCCAGCCTGCTTTTCTCCCTTCCTCCACCCTCAAAGCTCTCCCTGCGTGGGTGGGTAAACTCACTGGCACATTTTCTCAGAGCCCTGCACTGAAATTCATTCAGAGCCAGCACCTTGGGCTCATTTACAAACAACGCATGGCTCGCACAGAATCTCTTCACCCATCTTGGGCCTCCAACTCTTAACAACATTCATTCTTACCCTGTTTAGTCCAAAGACAGCTCTCCTTGACAGAGAAGACAGGAAAAACAGCAGGAAACAAGTTCTGCTTTCTTCACGTTATCCATCAACATCACACCATTGGCCGCAAGCAACAGGGCCTGCCTCTTCCTTCTTGTTCTCGCTCTGAAGTTGTAAGTCCTCCATTATCCTGCCCTTAACTTTTTTTTTTTTCTTTCTCAAAAGCCTCAGCACACTCTGGCCTTTGGTCCTTCTGTTCCCTGTTACTGGCCATTGCCTCTCTTTCACATAATTTTTGGTGACAGGTCTTTCCACTTTTTGGCACGTGCCCTTTTTAAATCTGAGTTTCTCAGAGAGAGTGCTTCCATGTTGGCTCTAGATGCCCTCACTTTTGGTCTTCAGCATGGATAACGTGTAATTGCAAAGACAGACTATAATTTTGAAAGCTAACCTATCCCTTTGAATTCCCCCTTCAGTAATAGAATGATAACCGTCTTGTCTTGAATTCATTGAAATCTGTGCCTTCTCTAAGTGTTGAGTACTTGTGTTAGCATTCCAAGCTTTCTGTTTGGCTAGCAGAAATCCTAAAATGCCACAACTACTTCCTCACAAGAGTCCCATCACTTCCACGATACCATGAGGAAGAAACTGTATCCTGACGACAGAAATTACCACTTATCTTTGTGTCTCCACATCCCATATTCAAAACAGACTGGAATATAAATACTGTATTTAAATTGTGATCTCTGATCTTTCCTAATTCACAACGTTCCCTTTCAAATATTCCTCTCTCATCTGTTTCTGCGGCCCCAATACGGAGGCACAATTTCCGTTCCATTTCGGCACCATTATGGTTTCTAACTCGTAGTAATTAAAAGGTCTAACCAGTTCATAATACAGTGGGGATCACTCACGTAGCATTTATGTAGAAACGGAGACGTCTTCCCTCTGATGACTGGACAGTTCCTACCGCTTGGCTGCAACAGAGTTCTTTGGGCACAAGAGAGGCCCTGAGTGCATGCACGCAGCTCTGGGAGGCGAAGCAAAGGAGTAGTAAGCAGCAGCTTGCTGGGACGTGTGAGTTGCAGCGGCACCAGTCTCCCTGTAGCCTCTGCTCCAGAAGATGGCACAATGACGTGGCAATACGTGTACTGAAAAGGTTCCTCAGTTTGCCTTCATTTGCCTTTAAAACCCTCACTTTTGAGCACGTATTTCTTTGAGGGGAAAAAAGAAATTATCTATGATCCTTTGTAAGCTCCCCCGTTAAACAGTGGACTGTTCAAAAAGAAAACAATTCCAATGCAGGGCTTCT